ATTTTCTCCAAATTCCTTCTTGATATTGTTGGGCAAAGTATCTTTAGGGGCCCTGATCAAATTTTGAAATACTGTTCATGTCCTAGGAGGACTAGTGGTAACCTTTATTGAAAGACAGTACTTGTCAAGGTTCATGAGGTCTGCCTTCATCAAACCTGCTCTATCTTAACCTGGAAAAAATCCATAGCCTCTTGTTCCTTGTGGAACCAAAAGCAAACCCTCTTCTCCAAAGCAGTGCATAATTCAAGTTCCATTTTCAAATAAAAATTTGACTTTTGTTTTAAAGCTAAAACATTTTTTAATTTATTAGATTAATGTCGGGGTCTGATACCACAACATAAACTACTTTTCCCTCTATGGACCAGCATGGATGCACAGGAAAAATTAGGACACAGTTCACACAGCAATATTGTAAGGGAGTCTCAGGCTTCCTTCATTCTTGAGTATCATCCACGTTTATTATTTAAACACCTTTTATTCCTCAAGGTAAACTAAGGTGGATGTTCATTAATATTCTCTTTCTGGTGGGTAATGGGACTACAGTCACTTCAGCAACTTGGTCACTAGGTTGGAATTCAGACTTCTTCCCAGGCAATCTACATAATAACAAAAGAGAAGGATGAGTATATCCTGAACCTTTTTTTAGGTAGTGGCAGGCTGTCTGGCAGGATAGTAACTGCTTTGGATACCAACCATGGTCTGAGAGCTTGGCTGTCACACCATGTGGAAAATATGAACCTACAGATTTATTTTTAAAAATACCAATCCAAATTTTCACTCCCTCCCCCCCTCCTATTCCCTCCACACACCCTCCCACTCCATCCCTACATAATCCTAAGAGAGGGAAAGGCACTTGCTTTGTAGAAGTTCCAAGGCCCTCCCTAGTACATCTAGGCTGAGCAAGGTATATATCCAATGACAATAGGATCCCCAAAAGCCAGTGTTAAGTTGGGAGTGTAGACCCTAGCTAGCCCTTCGCATTTATCCTAACCCCCAGGCCTGGCCCTGAGAGTTATATTGGTATGGACTTTAAATCCCAGCAGGCCAGGTCCTGACTCCCCACCAGGGAGGGGTCAGGACCACACCCATGGAGTATTTAAATGAACTCTCAAAAGAGGAACATGTGGTCTGTTTTCCTTTCTCCTGGTGGTCATGTTTGCAGCCTCCTGGTTCCCCCTTGGGGCCACCCGAGAGTGCAGAACTCCCATTAAACCTGGATATTTCTTAATTTGGCTTGTTTTGATTTGGCTAGATTGGGAATTTGTGTTGGCAGAGAGCTCATGTTAGGAAATATTCCTAACATCTTGGAGGTCCCACCGAGACAGGGCAGCCCTTTTCACATGGTCCTAGACCATGTGTTGATAGCCCCCTAGTCTACAATCTGAATTCTCCACAACATGCTTATCCCGGCTTCTGGGCTACAGCGGCTGTATTTTGGTGAGTCCTGAAATGTCCAATGAGAGTGAGAAAAGGATACGAGACAAAAACAAACTCACTTAGAAGTTTATTAAAAGAAGAATGTGCTCACGGACCAGAGGAAATGGTGTGCAAAGAGAGAGTGAGTAAAGATGGCATGCCTAGCTTTTAAAGACTTCCTAGTACATGCGCATAGGGGAAAGCCATGTCTACATCAGATGCTAATGATGGGTGACACTACGTCTTGCACCTATGCACAGGGGCTTTGCGTGAGCACATCAGATGCTGATGACACAGATGGTGGGCGACCTATGCATGCGCATAGAGGGGCTTAGTTGAGTCACGGGTGGAGTTAACCATGCATGTGTACACATGGGTCATGCGGGCCCTGTTCCCAAGGTTCTGCCCACATGTGCCTGCCTTAGAACTTGGAAGTGCAGCCTTACAGGTGGCTAAGAGAATTACAAGTCCCTTTTCTTGTCTATGCTATAGGGTTTTGTCGGGACCCATTCATAATTATTTTTGTCATTTTTCAGATTCCTGTTTAAGCCACGGGCCTGCGCCAGGGGTTCAGTTACCAGCAGCTGTCAGACCGGCCGTCTGGCCTTGGCTGAGGTGGAGATTTGTTTGTTTTGGGAGGCCAAGCATGCAATTTCCATGGCCCCATTTAAACCTAAGAGCCATTTTGGTGGACACGTTGGAGTAGACTTAGGTCATGTAGCTGGACATAGACATTAAAATGGGCTCTTGCAGTTCAAAGCCAGATCCTCTGTTGCTCCTGTGATGCCTCTTTCAAAATCCTTTTAAATTGGGCCTGTCCTAAATGCAATCTGTCCTAAATGGCTAATTTCCCTATTCCCTAAGATTTGGCCTCAAATGTCCTCCGGGACCTGGAAAATTTTTGTTGCGGACAGACAAATGGACACAGCTTACATATGCCCACGTTTTTTGGGCACTGCGCTCTTGCCCCTCCCCTGGTGTCTCACAGCACCATGCTGCCAGAGGCACTGAGCGCTCCCCCACTCCCTCAAGCTGACACTACCCAAACCCCTCCTGTGAAGCAACATTTTTTCCCCTACCTTCCCAATTCAAAGGTTCAAGGTCAGCTTCCACATTACCAACCTTCTCCTCCCACTCCTACTTCATCTCTCCACTCCTGGACCCCCTCTGTGCACTGGGATAGCCCTCCCAATTCTCCCCGTGTTCTCTTTTCTCTTCCTGATCTCTCTCAGATAGAAAAGCAGCAAGCAGGCTCAGCGTCATGGCTCTCATGTCAGAATCTCTCAACATTGTAGTGATAAGGCGGGCAGGCCTGCTTTTCATCTCGCCCAGCTTCCGCAAGGCTAGCTTAGCCCCGGAAATAACAACACACAAACTGTATTCATATAAACACTGCCTGGCCCATTATATCTAGCCTCTTCTTGGCTAACTCTCATATCTTGCTTAACCCATTTCTAATAATCTGTGTACCACCATGAAGTGGTGTCTTACCAGGAAAAATTCAGCATGTCTGACCTGGCGGCTGGCTCCAATGAGCCTGAGCTCACTTCCCTTCTTCTCAGCATTCTATTCTGTCTATTCCACCCACCTATGTTCTGTTCTATCAGGCCAAGCAGTTTCTTTATTAATTAACCAATGAAAGCAACAGATAGCCAAATGACTCTCCTCCATCAGAACATCTGCACAATGGGACTCATCAAACAACAACTAACCAATCTCTCCAGGTTATCTTGGTCCTCCCTTCTCCCCATTGCTCTGACTCGCCTCAGGGTCACCCCATGTTACCCTATGGGCTGAGCCCTTTTGAGCTTCTTTATAGCAGGCCTTTCTCAACCATCACCTCCCAGTCCAAACTCTTCCACTGGCAGGGTACCTACCCTATCTCTTCCCTTTGAAGTCCTTTTTCTGTTCACACACTGACAGTTGTTTCCTTGCCACCAGTGGACCCTAATGCCCCTAAACCTACCCTGTTCTCCCCAGGGGACAGAGTACATCTCAAACAGTTAAGTCCTAGGTGTCTTAAACCTCAATGGACAGGACCTCACACGGTAATCCTCATCACCCTGTTGGCTGCCAAGCTCTTGGGACATCCATGCTGGTACCATCTCTCCAGGCTCAAGCAGGTGCCTACTCAAGACACTTGGTCTGTCCAGACGAAAAGGCCTTCAACCCTCCAGTTTTCCAAGATGCCATAATGAAGGGCCTACCTGCTCCTCATTCTGGAACACTCATCTTTGATGATAACAATTTTTTCCTAGACACCTGCCTTCTCACCTCCCCCAAGGAACAGATGCCTGACATCTCTGGGATGACAGTACATGGGATGCCTTTCCAGCCACACCTCTCACTGAATGTGGACACCTAGCTCTCACCTTCCCCAGGTCGCCCATGCTTACAGGAAGTAGCCAGATTTGAGTCTATGACCTTTTTTTTTTCCAAAGATAGCCAAATTTTTGTCATAATTATCACTCCAATTTTCTATCACCTCTATATCCAAAGAGTGAGGAATGCTAAGTTGGAAGCGTACATCCCAGCCACTCACATCTATCCCAGCCCCCAGGCCTGAGAGTTATATTGGTCTGGACTCCAAATCCCAGCAGGCCATGGGGGTCAAAACCACTTCCACAGAGTATTTAAATGAACTCCCAAAAGAGGAACATGTGGTCTCTTTGTCTTCCTCCCAGTGGTCACTTTTGTGGGCTCACTATTCCCCCTCGGGGCCACTTGAGAATGCAGAACTTCCATTAAACTTGGATATTTCTTAATTTAGCTTGTTTTGATTTGGCTTGATTGGGAATTTTCATTGGCAGAGAGCTCATGTTAAGAAATATTCCTAACAGCCAATACATACAGTATAGATAAATTGTGCTGCCACTTGCAGTGGCCCCTCAGTCTGCCCCAGCCATACAACTGTCAATCACATTCAGAGGGACTAGTATGATCCTAAGCTTGTTCCTTTCCAGTCCAGCTGAAGGTGGTAAGATACCATTAGCTCAGGTAAACTGTTTCAGTGTATGAACCCTTTATGGTATTGACTTCTTTGCTCACATTCTCATTCCATCCACTCTTCAACTGGAACTTGGGAGCTGGGTCTGGTGTAACCATGTTGTTTTGTAGGTTGTTCGAGGAATTCTTGCATTGTTGCCTACCCACCTCTTCCTTCAAATGAGGTCAGCAGTGTCTTTGCATCTTGGTACAATCTTTTCAGGGGCTGTCTGAGTCTTTGGGAGTTTTTCTTGGTCTTCTCTGTACTGTCAATGTGTCAGAAAGACTTTGAGGTCTCTATAAGCCTACTCTCTTGGTCTTCTCTCCTGGTTTTGTTCTTTTGGTGCTCTTTCTTATTCCCCTCAGTGTTGTAGCAAGCTCTTGGTACCCTCAGTATTATAGCTCTCAGTTCTTAGGCATGGTGTGGCTAACAGCTGTGTGGTCAAGTAGATGTGTTTGGGTTTTTGGGGAGCCTAGCCAAAGAAAACTCCCTGCTGTCTGGATAGAAAAGCCTAGGGAATTGGAGGAGTGGCCTGGGAGTTTTTCCCACTGGAGAGGACCTAGAAAGTGGACATCCCAATGTATGACTGTTCACTTACCTCTTAAGTCTTCTCAGTATTGAATCAAGCTATGTAGATGCCTTAGACTTCAGATATAACAATTCAGAAATATTTTTCTAAAAAGATAATAGATTAAAAAGTGTCAGTTTGTGTTTCTTTCATTTTTATAAAAGACCCTAATAAAAATCCACTTAAAGAAAGAAGGTGTCAATTTAGTTCATAAATTTAGGTTTCATGTCACTATTATGGGATACCTAGGCAAGTGGAACTTTAATCCTCACAGACACACTGACAGAAGTAATTGAGATCTTCCACACTGTTAGCTATGGATACACAAGCCTGGGAATGGCATGACAGGCCAGCACTTTTCTCTCCCAGAATTTTTCAGTATATTTCTCACCCAGAAACAAATGAATGGATATTATTTACAGCCTTTTTGCTAATATTTGGCGCAATAAAGAGCCCAGTGCAGTCTGTAGCAAGCAAAGCTTCTCTGTGGGCTTTCTTAGACCTGCTGCCTCGAGGACCAGCAAGGTAACAAACTAAATCTGGTTTAAGATAAGCCTAGAATGATCTCTGGAGGTGATGCAGTGAACATACAACTATTCCACTATACTGTTAGTGGCAGGTGCCTGCATAGCACTGAGAGTGATAAGAACCATGCAGGTATTGCTTTTGGTTGAAGCCACAGCATAAAAGAGCACAACTGGATGCACCTGGATCTCTCAGAGGCTAGAATCCCTGGTCTTCTGGATCTTGATGGCAATGGTTTCAGTTATTTCTATGTGTGGCAACATCCTCATGCTTTGTGACAGTCTCAGCTGGTTTGAACCACACTCCTCTACTGAGCCACATTTTATTCATGAGATAGCCAGCCACTAAGTGCAGTGGAGCATCTCTAAGTTTTCAGAGGTGAGACCATCAGTCAAATTCAGGTAGCAGGTAGGTCCCTTCTCAAGTTAGCCCCTGGCTAAGGCACCTGAGATGTTCTATTAAACTGCAAAGGCAGCAGACAGATTTGGGGTTCTTAGCATTTCAGGGTGCAAGCATAAGAGGGTTGTGAACTTCCCAGATGCTAGAATGTCAGGATCCATGCTGCTTGAATGTGCTGGGACTGTCATCCTAGTCCTCGAAAAAGGGAAGAGTTCTCCTCTTTGTCCATAGGTATGGGATGGTAGGAGCTGAGAGATTTATTCCCACCTACTGTGCCATTGCCCATGGTATCTGGATCTTGCTCTCCTCTTTATCACTGGTGTTTTCCCATGCTGGCTCAGCTTAAGATACATCATTCCCACTTCTGCTTCAGAGTATCTAGTAGACACCCTGTTCCCTTTTGAAAGTTTTTAGAAGGGTGAGGTTAAGAAGCTCACTCATATTTATATGTATCAACTACTTTGGCAACAATTGGAATATATTAAAATATATGAATAAGGATGGTATGCCACTCATGTACATTCTAAAAATGAAACAAATATCATCACTCAAACTGTTACATATGAATAGGAAATTTTTTCTCCTAAAATCATATGTCACAAAATTATTATTACCTGTAGTTATTTAAATCATACATTCTGCATGCCCCTGGCTCACCACATTTCGGAGTTCCCCAAAGTAAATAGGTTCTGTCTATCAAGGCACCCAAGTAAATAGTTGCTGGAATGCCCACTGCAATGAGGAGAGACAGAAAAACAGCCCATTGAAAAGAAGAAAACAAAGAGAAATATGCTATTTGGAAGTATTCCTGTTTCCCTACTTAAAAAATATAAAAATAATGAAAAAAAGTCTCTATATTTACTTTTAGGAATTATTAGTTATTGTAAAATTTTTAGATCAAGACAAATTAAAATTATGTATAAAATGCTAAAGAAGTATGTAATTAATTCATAATTATGAACCTCATTTATTTTCTGAAATGTCATTTTCAGTTTTCTCTACATACATCTAAAAAACAAAACTGTTTCCTTCTCATATTATTATTGAATCTACTAAGGGATAAAAAATGTAATTAAGGTCAGATAAGTTCTTTAAAGATGATGGGAAACATTTTTCATCTCTGTAGTTACTTCATTATCAGGCTAATTAACAGTAGCCTTTTCTAACCATGGGGGCTTCAAGATGAAACTCAGAGTAACATGGGCAGAGCACACCTATGTTAAAGATACCATAAGGTCATTGGAGCTCCCTGGATTTGAACAGTTGGGATAATACAGATCCAGACACAAATTACATTTTCTCTTTTTTGATCATTCATTGCTCCATCCCTGTTTCTGACCATATATCCATGCATCTATCACATGACGTCTTTGTTGATATATTGAGTTAACATGATGCCATCCTCCATGCACCCAAACACTAAGGATGCTGTCAAACAGCATCTGAGGCTGCAACAGAGAATTCTATTCTATGCTGTCACCAACTTACTGGACATCCCCGTAGATATGTTTGAGAAGCTCCTTAATCATGATTCCTGCTATTCTCCAACTATAAACATCACTAACAGTCATCATGTTGAAACTTGATACTTGGATGGTCTAAATCTCTGTTGCCTTCATAGTGATACTTATTTGATTTCAAATTAAAGCCTTTTATTCCCTTTATGATGAGCATTGTGTTTTGACTTAAAAATATAGTTGCCATCTTTTTCTTCAGAAAAAAATTTAATTGGTTTACTAAGCATTTGATATTGATCTGATATGTTGGGAAAATTGTTCATATCAAATACTCTCATGAAAAATGCATGTAATCCAGCTCCAAGTGACTTCTCTTCAGACTTGATACACCTGAAAAGCAATACTCACATAAATAAAAGTATATCATGCAAATATCTGTCCTAGCATCCTCCCAATGACAATCTTAGTTCATGAACCTAATGGCTAAGCTTTTACGCATGAAGAGAAGACAATGCAGCTCTATCTCTGTTAAAGATACACAAAGGGAGGAGAGTAATGACTTCTGATAGCTCTCCTGTGACATCCACACATCTGATTCAGGGTGAAACCCTTTAACAGTTGGACACTGACTGCTAACCTAGATAACCTAGGTTACCATGGTGTCTAGCTTACAGTACCCTCATATCCAAAACAATGGACCCAAACCTTTGAAACCACAAACCAAATAAATCTTTTTTCTCTTAAGTTGTTTGGTAGCATTTTGTCCTGATGATAAAAAAATCTAACACATGTTATAAAAGATTTCAAGTTATAGTAAGAGCGATCCACATAAACAGAGAAAGACTGCATCATGTAGGCTATGACATTAAGATAAGGCTTTTGTTATATGGAGGTAAAAACATTAGATATTTGTCTTTCCTGTACCACCCACAAAATTAGATAACATGGTTTTGAGAATTACATACAAAGAGGAGGCTTATAAAGCAGTCAGGATAAAATATGAAAAATATTCTTACAAATTAGGAACACAAAAGTCCTTTCAAAATGTGGTCTTTCCCCACCAAATACATGCCTGTATAAGGAATGTAGCTTCTGAGATTTCATTTTGGAAGTGATTCCATGGAAGAATTTAAGAAAAAATAACAGAAGAGGAGCAATAGTATGCAAACAATAGTATTATGTCATCTATTATTTACATTGCAAAATAGAGCAAAGAAGTATGAAAAATTTTATTTGAATAGACCCCATTACATGAAGAAGCCACCACATTAGGGTGTACAAGATAGCTCAGTTGGTACGATCATATTGTAAAATTGAGTTCTATAATGGGAATCGACATAGTGGCAAGAGAACCAACTCCTTCAAGCGGTCTTCTCATTTCAACATGCATGCCATAGCAAACACACACATGCACAAATACCCACATATAAACACACATGCAGAGAGAGAGAGAGAGAGAGAGAGAGAGAGAGAGAGACTAATTTTTTTAAAAAATCACACATTAAAACGTCAATGGGCCACAGTTTTTACATCCAGTTGAAGAGTCTAGTTCAGAAATTAGGGTGATTGAAAAAGTGAGTGAGACATGGAAGTGCGAACAGGGAATCACTTAGGGAATCCAACAGGATAGTTCAACTACTCATATTCCCTTTACCTAGGGCCATCATCCTCCATGAGAAGTACTTATCCTTATCAACTGAGCATGCTGCTTTGGAACAGAGGCACCTGGAGTACTGAGGAAGAAAGAAGACACTTTGTAGCCACATCAGCTGAATCAGCCTGAAACATGATGGTGTGACAGATGCCACAGGCAAATCTCACTCACTAGCAAGAATAAGTCTGCAGAACTAGTGGTATTTGGTGTGTTTATCTTTCTATGAATCTATGAACTAAAACAAGGCATATACCACATCTTCACTTGTGTGAATATAAAAAATGTCACATCTTACCATGGAAAATGAATATAGAAGAACATATATGTAGCCTATTTCAGTGAGTGCTATGGTGGGTAGAAGTAGAGGGAAAGAAGGACCAAGGACAAGGAATGGAAAGGTAGGGCAGAGTGGGAAAGAAAGAAAATCAGGAAAGAGGAGAAGAAAGAACACCAGAAGAGAGCAGAAAGGAGAGGAGATGATATGGGAAGATCATTTGTCAGTGTATTGTTTCATTGGTTAATCAATAAAAAAACTGCTTGGTCTGATAGGTCAGAAAATTAGGTAGGTGGAGTAGACAGAACAGAATGCTGGGAAGATAGGTCAGAAAATTAGGTAGGTGGAGTAGACAGAACAGAATGCTGGGAAGAAAGGAAGTGAGCCAGACACCATGCCTCTTCTCTCCAGGGCAGATGCAATGAAGCTCTGACCCAAGATGTAGGCTAGAATCTTCCTGGTAAGTCACCACTTCGTGGTGCTACACACATTAATACAAAGGGTTAATCAAGATGTAAGAGTTAGCAAGTAAGAGGCTAGAGCTAATGGGCCAAGCAGTGTTTAAATGAATACAATTTGTCTGTTATTATTTCGGAGCATAAGCTAGGCAGGTGGCAGGTAGCCGGGCCACAGGAACGCAGTCCGCTGCTCCTTCTCATTCACTCCACAAATGTTTATTAAGGCTTTACTAAATTCCCAGCACAGTTGTAGGTGTTAGGGTTCTGAAGATGAAGATGAAGCTTGTGCTTACTTTCAAGAAGTCTCAGAAGCTAAGGGAGAGACAGATCATTAACTGGTAAAGGGTAGCTATTGCCAAGATGCAGTCAGGGTCAGAGGGAAAAGATTAATGAGAAATATTCTCATGCCTATGGTAAAATTACTATTTGTCCTTGTAGACTTTTTCCAATTGCAGCCAGTTGCCCCTTTTAGGTGCATGTGTCTTTGTGTAAGACTTATGCCAGAATCTTCTGAATGAGTTTACAATAGAGTTTGTTTTTAAAATCCTATGTTAATTTTTATACTGTTTCTATAAGTATCATTGGAGATTTTTCTAGTTAAAAATGGAAAAGGAACTAGAGAGCTACTGTTAGGAGCACTTGCTCATTGGGTAGAGGACACTGGGAACATTGGACCCTAGAACCCACAGTAGACAGCTGTCAAATCGCTGGAAGTCTAGCAAGGAATGACAAAATGACAAGAAGTGGCAGTAACTCAATCAGAAATGTTCATATCACTTTTTGATAATGTCTTTTCTTCATCTCTGGTTTTGTGTTTGTGTGTGATACATGGATATACACACGTCCAAGTGTGTGGAGCACATGTACACATGTGTGGGTGTATATATGTGTGGTGTATGTGCATGCATGCATGTGTGTGCATTTGCATGTGAGGGGTTCAGACACGTGTGTGTGTGTTTGTACAGAAATATGCATGCATGCAAATGCACATACCCATTTATATAGATACACATGTGGATGTCAGAAGAAAACCTCAGTATTGCTCTTCACCTTTCATTTGATTGAGACAGGGACCCTTTTCTTTGCTGCTCCTTTCTGAGGTCAACTGTCTTTTGAGCTTTCCAGGTTTCTTCTGGCTCTGCCTCCCATCTCTTTGTGGGAATGCTAGGATTTCAGATGCTTCCAGCTATACTTGGGTTTTGGGGTCTGAACTCAGATCCTTATACTTTCATGGCAAGCATACTGCTCTCTAAGCAGTTGCCCCAGCTTCCCATCTTAGAGCTTCTTGCAGCATAGGATCATGTGCTGTATTGTTAAACACATCACCAGAGCTGCTTTTCTTCTGGAAAATATGTTCTGTTGCTAGAACATCATTACCAAAGTGTACCCATCCTCCAGAACTCCACTTTGCATCACACCAGGGATAAATATCTCTGCCCTCCATTTTGCAATTGCCACAGTTTTGAGATCCTTTAATACATTACTAATTTGTGGAGCATTTGTGCTCAGATCTCCCTGGTGATGATGTTCTCTGTTGTTAACATAATAAGTAGACCCTAAGGCATCTGAGTTCATATAATAAATGACATACATATCATGACGACTGATGTGTATGTGAGGACTGTTGATTAATTTTGTCATTCTGGCATCTTTCCCTGTATTTAATTACAAAACATCCAAGTTTATTGAGATAAACAGTCTCATCTCAATGCATCATCATCCATGTATTTGAAGTTCAAAATCCAAATTGCGAATTCCCTTGAAAGCTACCACAAACCAATGACCCACAAGCCCCTAATCTTAAAAGGCACAAAGTTGAAAGTAAAAAATTAATTAGTGGACTCAGTGAATCTAGCTCTTTTGAAATGGCAAAGTTTAAGAAATGTTTACAGGTCAAAAGGAATTGACAGCATTGGTCCAATTACAATCTTCTTTTGTAATCATGGAAGCCCTAATACTTGAAAACAGAGGCCTACTAGAGCTCTCCAACACACACATTAAAAACTAAAATTCCTGTTCTTCTAGCAGATGCATATATTCACTGTCGAGCTTATTGCTTGTCTTTGTGCCTGTTTACATAAAACTATCCAGCACAGATAACTTTGAGAATACAGAATTTGTATAAAGAGCTCTATTTAAACTGTTTTCCGGTACAGGGTTGTTTCATAATTTTTTATTTTTATACAACCAAAACTCTGATCATCAAAATCTGATTTAACATTAATTTAATAGCAAATACATGATAAACTTTTATATGCCATTTAGACCCATTGTACTAAAAGTTCTCTTTATGGTTTTTGAAAAAAAAATCATTACACTTATTTATTTTGTGTGTGTATGTGTGCATCTTGAATATGTGCTATGCATACATGCATAGGTCAGAGGAAATCTTGCAAGAGTCAGTATTGTCCTTCCACCTCATGGGTTTTAGGGATGTGATTCAGGTAAATGTCCATGGCAACAACTGATTTTTACCCACTGAACCATTAAAAAGTCTCCTTTATAGGTTTTCTATCATTGTCCCAAGACCAAATCTGTTATTGGCGGTCACTTGTCTGTTATTAGCGGTCACTTGTCTGTTTCCAGACTGCCCTGACTTGAAATAAACACACAGAAACTATATTATTTGCAATACTGTTTGGCCAATATCCTAAGCATATGTCTGGCTTACTCATATATCTTAAATTAATCCATTTCCATTATTTCATATTTTACCATGAGGTTTGTGGCCTACCAGCAAGGTTCCAGTTAGCAGCTCGTATCTTTCTCCTCTGACAGCTCCACAGCTTCTCACAAATCTGCCTTCTTTCTCTCAGTATTCAGTTTAGTTTTGCCTGCTGAGCTGTACTCTGCACAATCATAGGCCAAGCCAGATTCTTTATTCATTAACCAATAAAAGCACCACATATACAGAAGGATTTCATTCACTACAAATCCAATCTCATACATTGTGTTTAGGTGATTATCTGTAGTTTGTGGATAAGAACCAGTGCTTTTGCCTTTTCTTGGCAAGAGGGGGATTTTTGACCATTTACAGAGGACATCACGGGCCTGAGAGACGATTTGTTGGTTAATAGCACTTGGTCTTCTTCCCAGAGCACACATCAGGTGGTTCAGAACTACCTGTAACTCCAGCTCAAGGGGATTCAATACCCTCTTTTAGCCTCCTTTGTCAGCAAAAGCCGTGTGACGGACACACATACTCACACACATCAATTTTTTAATTATAATTTCTAGGAATGCCTGCTGTTCAAAATACCTCCCAATACTAATCTGTCTAAAGTCTCTTCATGAAAAGGTTGTCATTACACTGCTAGTGTGGAAATATTGTGGGAATGATATGATGTAACATGACGAGTTGTTTGCCCCAACATTGCAGAGAGAATTTGGATGACTGTCCAAGTAGCCAACAGTTTTAGACCTTTTTTTTGCATTTTAAAAGTCTCTTGCTTTCACTCTCTGCATACTAAATTAATATTTTCCTTCTCAAGTCTCTGATGTGGTTGTAGACAACATGGTCAGAGTTACTATTCTCTCTTATCTTAGCTAGGTATATTAGGTACAAGACTTACATTCCTCAGGATAGGACAACTACTGGAGTAATCTCTGTAATGGCAATTATCTATAGCCTGGACATATATTATGTGTTTCCTGTTTGAGATTGTTCTTGTTGGTTGAAGTTCCATTTTTGTGCATGTTATTACCCTTTCTTTCTCCTGGAAATAATTGATAATTGTTGTTATTGTAAACAGTTTTATGTTTGGATTAGAACCTTTTTATTTAGACAAAAAGGAAAAATGTGGGAATACATTCTAAGAAAAGATTGGGAATAGAGACCCTGGGCATGGTTTCTTGTCTGCAGATGGAACCTCTTATAAGGAAAGAGGAAGGCATTCACACTCTGTCTCATTTTGCGGTTGGACATGAGACTACTGCTTCCATTGACTATGGTGGCTATCTATCTTGTTGTGTATCAGTGAGTATATAATAATAAATCTTTAATATCCCTTTAGACTGGCTTTCCTGGATTCACCAGCAGAAATTAATTCTTTTTTTATTTTTTATTGTTGATAATGTATAAATTTATTGTTTGTAGAAGAAATATATTTCAACATTTATTAAATGAAAATAACTTACCTAGTTCATTGTAATTCTTTGCTACTGATCAACTTTAAGAAAATAATCAACAAAGATATATCTAGAATTATAGCCAAAACATCTCTTTGTGACACAAGAAATATTTTACAACTATAAAGGTAAAATTAGGGACTGGAAATATGTCTCAGCAGTTCAGGCATCAATTCAATTCCCAGCAGCGACATAAGTATCTCAGAACCAGGCATAACTACAGTTCCAAGGGATCCAACGTCCTTTTCTAGTCTCTTATGAAAATGCATGACTCTGGTATACATATACACGCAGGACAAAAACCCATAAATACAAAATATAATTGAATTTTACACACATGCATGCACACACACACACACACACACACACACACATATGTTTCTGGACTTTTTAATATCTGAGGTGGTGGTAAAGCATACTCTCGGGATGACTTCTTTCAGCTCTTTTCTTTATTCATCTTCTACATTCCCTATTCCTTCTTTCATTCATGAGGGTTTCTGTAGTAATAAGGGCAGCGGGGCTGCGTTCCCAGCACCCCGGCTGCCTGCCCGGCTAGCTTATGCCCCGAAATAATTACACAGACACTGTATTCTTTTAAACACTGCTTGGCCCTTTAGCTCTAGCCCTTACTGGCTAATTCTGATATCCCGATCAACCTATATCTAATAATCTGTGAGCACTGGTCTTACCGGGTAAGATTCTAGCCCACGTCCATCCTGGGTCCGAGCTTCATGGCGTGTCTGCCCGGGAGCGGGGCATGGCGTCTCTCTCAGGCATCTGCTCCCGAGAGGAGAGCTGTGGAGTCTGACCTCACTTCCTCTTCCTCCCAGCATTTTGTTCTGTTTACTCCACCCACAGGGCCAAGCAGTTTCTTTATTGCTTAACCAATGAAATCAACAGATTGATGTATGACACTCCCACATCAGGTTTCTTTCTAACTCTATCTTTATTCTTCTTATTCTCTTATACTTGAGGTTATCCATATAATTCTAACTTTATTCTTGATATTTATCTTCTAGTTCTAAGTCTCTCATTCTTGATGTTTTCTTTCTAACTGATGTTAACTCTCCCATTCTTGATGTTTTCCTTCCAACTCATTTTAACTCTCTCTATATTCTTTCTTTTTTAGCTTATATATATCCAAGAAAAATCTTTCAGGTACTATAAAAGTTACAATGTGGTTACATACTGTTTTTCAAGTGAATGATTACAAATAATTCAAGTAAAAACCATCATGGTTTTCATATCCCTTATAGGATTAAAAATTTTATGTATTACAGTGATAGCAAGCTGTTCCAAGAGCCCACACACATTCATACTGAAGCTACTTGATATAGATGAACAGTGTGTTAAGCAAGCAAAATATTCTTATACTGGCATGTTGTGTTTTGCTATTATAAAATAAGGAGCAATCACGTTATTACTTATCATGAAAGGCAATCTTATAAGAAATCTTAGAAAGATCACAAATCTAAACTTTCAGACATGTAAAAGAATCAGTTAACTGTACTTTAAATCTTTAGGCCAAATACTAACACATCAAAAGATTATATATATATATATATATATATATATATATATATATATATATCAGGATATTCATGACAAAATGAGCAAGGAATTAATCATAATCTTTGATCACCAACCACTCCTAGAAATGAAAGGATATCAACTGGCAATTGCTTTGAAATATTTGCAGGTATTCTGAATATAGTGACAAAGATTGTTTCAACCATTGACTTTATCTTGTCACCGGTGTTTTCTCAGATGTGCACATTGGATACATAGTCCTGAGTAAGTAGAATCAGAAAAGGAAACAAGAGAGTATCTTTCAAATACAAGCACCATGCCTCCATGTTGATGTGGGAGGGTCTTCTGTTTTGTGTTGATTTCATTGGTTAATTAAGAAACTGCCTTGGCCATTTAACAGGCCAGCCCATAGGTGGGTGAAGTAGACAGAACAGAATGCTGGGAGGAAGAGGGAAGTGAGGCAATTGCCATGCCTCTCCTCTCTGGGACAGACATCATGAAGCCAGCCACCAGGTCAGACATGTAGAATGGCATTCTGTAAGTTTTTTTCTTCTCAAATAAATAACCTTTTTAATAATAAGTCCAAACTGGTGTGGGATTGTTTCACACATTACCTTCCTTCATCCTCCTATCTTTAGGGATTTATGAGATTTTTATATGAATGAGTTTCATTAATAAGGGAAGAAATATGATGAGCAGAAACAAATAGTACTCTTCTGAAATAACAGAGAGGTTTGTTGTTCCTTAAAATCTCTTCATTCTTTACCAAACACAAAATAGGATGATTTCTGTATTAATTACTTTTCACTGCTATAATAAAATACCACAAAACAACTGATAGATGAAAGAGAATGGTTTTTCTTATTATTCTAGAGGGATGAAAGCCCACCAAATCAAAGAGGCATGACAGGGAGCAACAGGCATGATAAGTGGAGCAGGAAGCTGATATCTCACTTCCACAACCAAAGCACAAAGCAAGATTTAATTGAAAGTAGGTAAGGCTTTTAACTCTCAACATTCAACTCAATGATACACTTCCTCCATTAAAGATGGACCCCTAATTATTCACAACAGTTACCAACTGGAGTGCAGATGTCTAATTGTCTGAGGCTAGGACAGACATTTCTCACTCAAACTACCACAACATGGTTTTGTTTTTAATGTGTGCTTTCAATATTATTAATTTCAGTTTCATACAATAAGTCACTTTTTAAACATTTATAATTTTTCATCTTTTTATTAATTTATTTATTTACAGATGGGGCATGTACACCACAGTACAGGTGATGTGGGAATGTCATATATCAATCTGTTGATTTCATTGGTTAAGTAATAAACAAACTGCTTGGCTGCTGGGAGGAAGAGGAAGTGAGGTAAGATGCCTCAGACAGAGACGCCATGCTCCGCTCTCCCAGACAGATGCAATTCAGCTCCGACCGAGGATGGATGTAGGATAGAATCTTCCTGGTAAGCCAGCTCATGGGCTACAGCAGATTATTAGAAATGGGCTAGTCCAGGTGCAAGAGCTAGCCTAGAAGAGGCTAGATAGAAATGGCCAAGCGGTGTTTAAAAGAATACAGTTTCCATGTAATTATTTCAGGTAAAGCTAGCCATGGGGGTGGCCGGGTGCCGAGGATGCAGCCTGCTGCTCCTATTACTACAAATGGCGCCCAGACGTGTGGACAACTGAATCCACTGAAAGCCTGAGAAAGCTTGGGAAAGAGAAGAGCATGTTTTCTTGGTAGCTGCAATTTAATAGAGGCTTCCTGACTCAGCTTTAGCTGCAAAACCCTGCAGGTCATTAAGAGGTCCTGCCATGAAACACTTAAATGTTGTTGACGAAAAGCTGAACGCATGCTTTTCGGTTTTCAGCCGTAGCAGGAAAAAAGCTGCACTGTTTAAAAATGCAAGCTTTCTGGGCTGTCCTGCCAGGGCAATCTCTGACTCTTTTACGCAGGCGGTTCGTGCGCTTTGCAAGCACAGGCTGTTGAAGCTTGCTTGCTGGCAGGGACCTTGAAATGCCATAGAGTTGTGGCAGTAAACATGGCTACAGCCAGTACCTCAGCCATGAGGCTGGAAAGCTAAGGAATGGGCTACATCTAGCCGGCAAAGCCACGCCTTTAGTCCTACTGAGATTGCTTGGTAAATT